GTGCTCTAGCTATTGAGCTACAGGACTCCACATAGGAAGAGAGTGTATATGGAGGACAGTGTACATAGGAAAGAGTATATAGGAGAGTGTATGTAGGAGAGTGTATACAAGAGTAGAGTGTATATAGGAGGAAAGTGTATACAGAAGGAGAGTGTATAGAGGAGTGTGAATATTGCAGAATGTCCAGAGGTGGAGAGTGTATACAGGAGGAGAGTGTATATAGGATAGTGTATTTAGGAGAGTGTATATAGGAGAGTGTATATAGGAGGAGAGTGTATATAGGAGGATAGTGTACAGAGGAGAGGGTGTATAGAAGAGAGTGCATAGAGGAGCAGAGTGTATATAGGAGAGTGTATATCGAAGAAGAGTATATAGAGGAGGAGAGTGTATATCAAAGCGAGTGTATAGAGGAGGAGTGTATATCGAAGGAGAGTATATAGGGGAGGAGAGTGTATATCAAAGAGAGTGTATAGAGGAGGAGAGTGTACAGAGGACAGTGTATTTGGAACTCAGAACAAGAGATATTCAGAGGTGAAAGTTTACCACAGTTTACAATAAAGACAAGAAAGATTCTAATGGGGAGACAGATAGACAAAAAAAGAGAGACACACCCACAGAGATAAAAGAGGGATACACACGTGCCTGCACGCGCGCACACACACACACACACAGAAAAAGACGGGCACACATAGAAAAAAGACACACACATATAAAAAGATACACACACGCACGCAGAAAAAGGACACGCACACAGTAAAACTCAGAAATGCGTACAGAAAAACACACACACATTCCTGGCTGTTTATGGGACATACAGTCACTTCATCTACAGTAAACGTATGAAACGCTCTGAAACAATCTCTTGATGTGAAAAGGTTCTATGTCAAATTTAAGTATTATATATTTATCATAAAGGGTTTTGAGGCACTGAGACGTGATAAGATAAGACAATATGAAGTTGTTATCATTTGTGTCACTGCCACACAGGGTTCTCAATAGGCTGCTGAGAGTCCAAGCAACTTAGTCTCAGATATTGCCCACGTCTCTTTCAGACTTCCTGGGAAGCAAGATCAAAACAGGTTTACAGTAAAGGAGGCTGTGTCCAAGACAGAGCCTGGCAAATGGCTGCAATCTCACAGGTGCCGATGGCTCAGGCGGGTGGGCTGACACAAGGCATAAGACAAGTGCCCCACACACAAGTGTACCCCCCACCCTCCAAAACAGAGGAGAGCACCCGGCGAAGGAACGCATAAACATAGGCTGGGATTAGCATAGCCAGAGGGGCTGGGCACACGCTTGTGAGATGTGACAACCATTGCAAGCTGCCTGCTCCAGCACAACAGCTGTTTCCGAGCAGTAATTTGCATCAATTTCCAAAAATATATATATTTTAGAACGGGAGTGGGGGTGGTGAAGGGGGGGAACAGAACGTAGAGGGGAGGTGGGGTAGCGTTTTGTGCAATGAACAGACAGAGCGTGTTGTTTGTCAGAAAACGGTGTCTGGAAAAGATGCAAAACAAGCCGGTGGTAAAACACACCACAGCTCCCGAAGCTTACAGAGTTCAAAGGCACAACATACAGCGCCCCGAGCTAATGGGAAGCAGCACTAATTTTAAAACCATAAAATGCTATAAACTGGCCTTGGGGGCAGACTACTCCGAAGCTAGTTGCACCTAAATAAGACACGGATCATTTACTTCACAGCTTAGCCTAATGTAATAATCAGCAACGTCTTGCCTAAAGTTGCGCATGGAGATGGCTGATGTTGCGGGGGAGATGTGCGAGATGCGGCGTTGCCCCCGGACTCTCGCTCTCTCTCTTTTAACGGCAGACTATTTTTCATGTCGGACAGGCCACGTAATCTAAAGCTCTCAAGATAAACGACGGGGGAATAGAAACCCGCTTTTCCTTTCCTTAACCCTTTCCATTTACACAACACCCGAACAAACCTGGCACTGGTCGTTACCTCTACGAGACTCTCAAATGTTCCGAGACAGGGTGTGTGTGTTTGTGTGTGTGGAAGGATTAAGTGAGCAGGAAATTGCAACAACTGCAGCCTGGTTAAAGGAAGAGCGCGATTAATCGCAATGTATTTTACACAGATCATCTCGTGGGAGAGGCCCCTATCAAAGGTTTGGACCGTGTTGTCGGTCATCTTTCCTCTTCCAACCCCCTTTGCCCTTCATCCTCTCTGCTCCCAACCTACAGCTCGGGTGCAAACCCCTCATTGTCCTGCACCTTGGGACGTCCTCTCAACCGCTATGTAAAGGCAATTTGTTGTTAATAATAATAATCATTATTATTATAATAATATGTTGTTGAATAGCGTCATGGGATCTTTAACGTCCACCTGAACAAGTAGATGGGACTGTCTCATTCGAAGGATGGCACCTCTGACAATGCAGCGCTCCCCACCCCTTGAGTTCCCCAGTTAGCCGATCTCAGTCATTCGCCTCACGTGAGAGACCTGGGTTCAATTCCTGGCAGGGTGAAATGTTAGATAAGTTTCCTTACTCCACATGCCTCTGTTCACCTAGCAGTAAGTAGGAACCTGGTTGTTAGTCAATTGCCGGATCACTTTTCTGGGGGTAATAATTCCTTCAAACAAAAATAATAAATTGGTCACTTCAATCCACGTCTGTTTGTGGGACAGACCGCAATTGGCTGCCGCGTTTCGCCCACAAAATATACAGTCAATTCACTTTACAGTGCATCTTGTGAAGAGCTTTGAGATGTCTTGAAGACGTGGTAAGGCGCTATATCAAAATGCAAGGATTATTATTATTATTGGGGCCACAGTTGGCCTCAGTGCCCTGAGTTTGGGTGATGTGGGGGGGTGGGGCACGGTTCTCAGGGTGCTCTGCTCACTATCTGGGCTCGGGAGTAGCTGTGATGTCATTGCTGATACGCACATTCAAGCCTCCCACGTGAACAGTGGCGGCCTGGATGAGGTATTGATGCTGCCCGGCCAGCATGCTGGAGGATGGGGGGCAGGGCGGTGATCACTTCAGGAGCGAACAGAGAATAATAATAATCCTTGCATTTGATATTGGGCCTAATCATGTCGTCGAGAGATCTCAAAGCATTGGATATACTGTAAAGTGGATTGACTGTGTTTTGTGGGCAAATTGATTACATACAGGATGAAGGGACCTCAGGTGAGCGCATTATCTGCTTATAATACAGGGGGCTCTGCCTCCTAGGAATGGGGTACAATAAGACGGACAGTCCGCACTGGAAGCTGGAAGTGACATCAGCCATAACCCGATGAGCTTGAAGCGGGGCTGACCACCGATTCTCTTACTCCAAGATCTCCAGAGCAGAAGTGGCCTGAACAACAATAACAACAACAAATTGCATTCATATGGATGAATGGATTGATGTGTTGGGAGGATGTCCCAAAGCGCTGGACAATGAGGTGTTTGCACCCAAGCTGTGGGTTGGGAGCAGAAAGGGGTGGAAAGCAAAGAGGGATAGAGGAGCGAAGAGGACCGAAGGCACGTTAGGAACGGAAGATCTTGAGACGAACCTTGAAGGAGGCAAGGGAGGGCGCTAGGCGGAGGGGCTCTGGGATGGAGTTCCAGAGGGTGGGGGCGAAAGATGCCTACAACCTCAGCAATAAACTGACCCCAAATATCATCGCAAGATACAATATTAATTACGATCTCTTAAGATTAACCACTTCGAGTTTCTGATTTGCAGCAAAATTCTTTCCCCCACCACCCCCACCAACTCCCCAGCCAGCCAGAGTTCAGGCCTGCACCCCATCTGGAGTTAGTTCTCAGCCTGTTTTAAACACTACTGGAGTGCGGAAAGAGAGGAAGGGAGAGAGACAAACACACACACACACACACACACACACAAACCCTTCTAATGTCCCATGCGAGGAACTTAGTGCACAGTTTTAATTTGGCAATTGCTCCAGATGGAATTATCATTTTGACAATTGCCCCGAGGTCCACTTTAAGCACGCTTCATTTCCGCCCACAAAACCAGGAATTTACACATTAGTTTGAGCCGATAGAAACGCAAAAGGGCGGCAAGGCAGACGCCAGCCTAATGGTGTCACTGGCTGTTTCAGCTTTAATTGTAATGAGGAAAATCACAGTCACAGCACAACAGGGAGAACATTAAACACAGAGTGTTGGACAGCACATGCAGTTTGTAATCCAGCTCTGTACAGCGCGTGTGGTGGATTTAAACCATCTTCACAGTATATCCTGTGAAGCTCTTTGGGACGTCTCGACAACGTGATAAGGAATTATATCAAATGCAAGGATTATTATTACAACAACTTGCATTTATATAGTGCCCCTCATGCAGGCCAGCATCCCAGAGTGCTTGACGGTGACAGTGACGATGCTGAACCAGGGGGAGATGACTGTAGGCACAGTTGAATATGAAGGTGCAAACTGAAGATGGGGAAGGAAGGGCTAAGGCGAAAGGATAGAAGAAGAGTTTTCCGAGAGTTTCAAGGCATAGTGGCTGAAAGCGCGGCCACCGATGGTGAAACAGAGGGCATGAGAGACATGCAGAAGGTCGGAGCCAGTCGAGGGAAGCAGCGGGTTGTGAGGTAAGCAGGTCGGAGAGGTAGGGAGGGTGAATGGATTTGAAAACGAGTGTGAGAATCTTGAAATTGATCCGTTTTGGGTTAGGGAGCGAGTGGAGCCTGGCAACAACTGTGTGATGAGGGTATGGAATTTAGTGCAGGTGAGTATGCGGCTGGCAGTGCTTTAAATCAGCTGGATCCTGTGCATGGCGGAGCTGGGAGAAGAGGCCATTTGAGAAGTTGAGTCGGGTGGTGAAGAATTATTATTATTATAATTATTATTGTGGTTATTATTATTATTATTATTAGACACCAGCAGATCTGTACCTCAACTCCATTTACTCACCTTTTATCCATAGGCCTCGATACCCAGCAAATATCTATCGACCTCAGACACGAAAATTGCAATCTCGCGATTGCCAAAAGCAACATGCAAATGCTGGACACTTACATGTAAACTGGGATGATAGGTCAGGACCCCATTGTCGCACAGTGTCACGTACTTCTTCTTCCATTCTTTGTTCAGAGACTTGCCACCTCTCTTCAGTAACATGCCCTGTGAGAAAGCATAGAGACGTGGAGGTGAGGTAAAGGGCTGTGGGCTTTACAGCATAGAACAAGTTCAGGTGGGAGTCAGCCTGGCTCAGTTGGCAGTACTCTCACCTCTGAATCACAAGGATGTGGGTTCAAGGCCTATGTTGTAGCCTTGAGTTCACAACATCTAGGCTGTCGCTCCAGTGCGGCGCTGCGGGAGCGCTATATTGTCAATGCTGACGTTAAACCGAGGTCCCATCTGCCTGTTCAGGTGGATGTTAAAGATCCCATCTCAGTGTCCTGAGCCCAGATAAAAATCGGTGCTTCATTTCATGCTTCATGGGCTAATAATCCCGGGCCACTGGAAGTTTCTCCCAGTGTTCTGACCAAATAAAATTGGCCACTCACTTCATGACTATTTGCGGGAAGTACCTTTGCGCAAATTAGCTTCTGCATTTGCTACAAAATACACAGTCACTGTACTTAACAATAAATCCTGTGCACAGCTTTGAGACCGCCTCCAGATGTGAAAGGCATTGTGTCAACGCAAAGATTATTACTGTGAATGAGATTTTTCACGTCTACCTGAACGGGACTGTCCATCTCGCCCGAAGGACATCACCTCTGATCTCTGATTGCCAATACAGCTGTCTCCCCCGTACCCGAACTGTGCTGGGGGGGGGGGGGGGGCAGGGGAGACTGGAGAGGGCTTGCGGAACTGAACCCCAATGGAAGGAAAGAAAGGAAATAAAACACTTTACATTTACACAGTGCCTTTTACGCCAGGAGGATGTCTCAAAAAGCTTTAAAAAGAGAGGCAGATGGAAAGTGGAGGTAAAGAAAGAGCTTGCCAGGTTCCTTTACAAAGAGAACACATAGTTAGTGTAGTCTTTATGCAGGATATGCAGTGTGTGGAGGGGGAGGGAGATGGACACAATGTACTCTCAATAGAGTCCCACACCGAAACAGATGTGAAAACTTCAGATGTTCCAACTATTTCCCTCGCATTTTTTCCTGAATAATTTGCCGAGCTGTTCCGAGCTCTGGAATTTCCTGCTGCTCCCTGCGCTGTCACAGAGGTGCCAGGGGGCACACACAGTGGAGTGCACAGTCTGGGAGTAAAGGCTAACTTTCCCATCAATTAAATGTTCCTTGTTTTGCCAGAGTCTCGTCAACGTTGAGGTGGAAAACGTTATAGTTCATCCAGCAACTGACAGAACAGCAGTGGTTCTGGAGTCGAAGTTTGAGGCAGACAAATGGAACTGAGTGTCACCCGAAGACATATCATTATAAACCTGACATTTGATGCCTTTCATGTCAAAAGGACTTCTCAAAGCGCTTCACAGGATATACTGTGACTATGCATATTGTGGGCAAATGTGGCAGCCAATTTGCTCACAGCAACGTCCCACAAATAGCCATGGAGTGAGTGACCAATTTTATTTGAAGGATTTGTTGGCCAGGACACTGGAAAAAAATTCTCTTCTCTTTTCTAATTGTGCCAGAGGATCTTTAATGTCAGACAGACTGAGCATCGTTTTAACTCATCTGGAGGATGGCGCCTCTTACAATGCAGCGGTCCCCCAGCACTACACTGCAGTGTCAGCTTAGACGGTGAGCTCAAGTCCCGACTTGGAGCTTGAACCCACAACATTCTGACTTAGAGGCGAGAGTGCTACGGACTGAACCAGACTGACATATAAAGAGAACCTCACTTTAATACTCAGATGGAAGTTAATGATCCCTTGGCACAATGGGGTTCACCTGAGAATGAGGTCACCATGGAGGAGCATGAAGTTGAGGAAAAGGAGAGGATGAGAAGACAAGGGAGCTTCTCTCTCCTGGTGTACTGGCCAACAATCCCCCCCCCAGATAAAACCAGTCATTCAATTTATGGCTGTTTGCTGTGTGCAAACTGTCTGCTACGTTTGCCTACAAAATACTCAATCATTGCATTTTGAGATGTCCTCCCGACCTGAAAGGCATTGTATCAAATGTAAGGACCATTGTTGTTTCTTCTCTTGTTCTGCTCCCCAAACACTCTCTCTTCCCCCTCATACTCCACTCTCTCTCTCACCCTTATCTCCCTCTGCATAATAATAATCCTTGCATTTGATATAGCGTCTCAAAGCACTTCACAGAATATACTGTAAAGTGAATTGACTGTATATGCTGTGGATAAAACCCGGCAGCCAATTGTGCACAGCAGTGTCCCACAAGCAGTCGTGGATTTAAGGGATTATTAAATCCGGAAAGCAATCCATAAATTTGCTAACAAGAGGGTTCCTACTTAGTGCTAGGTAAACTGAGACATGTGGAGTAAAGAAACATGTCCCTAAGGTTTTGTCCCACCTCGGAATTAACTTCTTCCATCTCTTCCCCTCCAAAACACTTCCAAAACTGCGTGTCAGTAATGCCCGTCTGGCCTGTGCCTAACCTGGGCTAACCTGGAATGGGCTGCCATCTATCTATTCAGGTAATTGACTGAGCCCCCCTCAGGACAGGCGGCTGTGGACCCCTGGCTGGACACATCCTCTGATGGAGACGAAGGGCTGGCCACAGCAGACAAGATCTAGGTACTGAGCCTTTGAAATCCACCTGCAGCTCGCCGATAAGAATCGCCTTGTGCTTTTGCAAAGGCAGCTTCATGTTATCACTGGGCTCTCCACCCTGGTCCTGAGTAGCCCAGTGCACTGGGCTCATTCACACAGACTTATTGTAACACAACAAACCTCTTTGTGCTTACGTTGAAGTGTTTGCTGAATGCAACATCCATCATCAAGCGGCCTGTTGACTTTCTCATCCCCACTTTCTATGCCCGTTCATTTATAATAATAATAATCCTTACATTTGGTTCAGCACCTTTCACGTCAGGAAGACATCTTAAAGTGTTTCACAAGATATACTATGAAATGCAGTGACTGTGTATTTTGTGGGCGAAACGCGGTAGTTGCTCACAGCAATGTCCCACAAGCAGCTAGGAAATTAATGATTATTTTTACTTGGTGAGTTGTTGGCCAGGACACTGGGAGAGAGAAACTGTTTTATTTTCCGATGGTGGTATGGGATCTTTAACATAACCTTGAAGAGTAGGTAGTTGGGGCCTCGGTTGATCATCTAATCCGAAGCACGGCACCTCCGACACTACACCTCCAGCACTACACTGGAGCATCAATCTAGATTGTGCGCTCAAAGTCCTGATGTGGGAGGTCGAACCTACAATCTTTTGGCCAAAGCCTAGAATCCCACCATATGAGCCAGGCTGACACCTGAACTTCAGGAAAAATGTGTGTGTGTGCGTATGTGTGTGGGGGTGTGGGCATTAAGACCGAAGATGGAGTACATATCTGGGAGTTTGGGTTGTAAATTTTCTGTGCAGATTTCTGCTGTGTTTAAGTTCACTTTTGTTCATTCAATCTCCCCGACACTGCGAGGGGTCAGCAAGCCTCTAAGAAGCGTTCAAGTCACTTGGTAGGTTTCAAGCTCCCTGAACCCACAAGGGGGAAGTGGATGGGGGCCTGAACTGTAAGCCTATGCCGGTTAAATAATTCACACAACGCTTGATATTAAATCCTTGTGTATGTAATAAATGTAAGCAATATCTGAAATCTATCATTCGGCGCCTCGCTGTACCCACGAGCCATGATAAAACACTGCTCATAAATTTATATTAAAACTCTGCTCAATAGCAATTATTTACCAACAAAGATTTATTGATTGTGTTTGCCACCGGAGACTTCTGCTAACTGAGCCAATCAGTCAGCGACGCTGAAGGATTCTGTGCCAAAGGGCAGTAACTCACACTATCAGGTTAAGTCCCTATAATCATTACTGCAACAGTGCAAACAGCTAATGACGGGTCGAGTGAAACGCTCCCCTGAGACCATCATTTGTACATGAGGTGATGTTAACACCGGGAGGGGAGTGGTATTCTTGTACAGGAGACAAGGAGTTGTACCCAGCAATTAAATTGCCATCACATCTCCCCAGCGCTGTAAAATATACTGCAGCGCTGATAGAATAGTGCACTGCTAGGAGGGAACAAACAAGGCGCTGTCTGACACCATCAAGGGGGTTCGGACTTCTTCCCAACAGGAGCAATGTCTAACAGGGATTAGGTATTAAAGCGAGGTATATGATACAAAGGTTGGCAGCGCTCTTGCCTCATTGTCAGAAAGTTGCAGGATTGAGCTCCATATCCAGTCTGATACTCCACCACAATTCTGGGGGGAAGAGAGCCATTGTCCGGTGTCGTCTTTTGGGTGATTCGTTCATAAAAATAATAACCTTTACATTTTGATGCAGCACCTTATCAAATCGCCAAGGCCACTCAAAGTGCATCATGGAAATTTACTGTGTGTTTGTGGGTGCATGTGGCAGACAATTTGGCATGGCAAAGTCCCACAAATAGCTACAAAGTGAGTGACCGATTTTATCTGGGGGATTGTTGGCCAGGACACAGGGAGAAATTCCGTTCTCTTTTCCAATAGTGTCATAGGATCTTTAGCATCCACCTGAAGAGGCAGACAGGACCTCAGGTTAACGTCAATAATCCAGGGCACCCCCAATAATGCAGCAAACCTATTGTCCACCTATTCCAGCTAATGCAGCAGTGCTGTATTGGTGTGTCACCCTAGACTGTGGTTCAAGATTCCAACTCAGTCACACCACAGTAAAATTCTGTGAAGCTTTGAGACATCTCATGACATATGGCACTGTATCAAATGCAAGAATTATTATTTTTATTATTATAACAACAGCGTACTAATTAACGCCACTTCCTAGCTCTTTCCCCTCGTGTCTTCATGTTTTTCCAGTTCCCTTTTGAATGATCCCATTGATGCAGCCCCTGCACAGCCAGGGCTCCCGATGCCATCATGCCCGAACACGGCTTAATGGAAACACGTCAAAGACACCAATGGTAGCGGGTGAGCAGCCCACTCGCGGGTGACAGGGTGACACTGTCCTGTTCAGCTGACAAACAGCCACAGCACCAGGCAAAAAAGGCACCATCAGTCCCCA